TGAAGGTAATAAATTGGCAATGCAATTATCACGTCCATCCATGTATAATATCTTTTCATTAATTCATTCTCTCTACTCATACTTGTACGCTATACATACCCCTTAATATGTTGATATATCCACGCAGCAGTATAACCCTCGATTGCACGTGTGAATAAAATTGTGATTTTTCGCGCTTTCATTTTTATGCAAAAGCAAGCTACGAGCCTGTCGTCTGCTCCCTGTCGACAAAACAAGAGCGTTCAAAATCAAGGCTAAATCGACGTTCCTTCATGAAATATGAAAATCTGATCCTCACCTAAATCGCGTCGAAGATCTCCCCAGATAGAAGATGGAAATACGCCACAGAAATAGTACATGGATTGCGGGTTAAGATAATAACTGTGTCTTTGTCTTTCTCGCTCTCTCTCTCTCCTTCCCTCGCCTTCTCGGGCTTAGCTCCCGAGCTAGGATAATGTGAGCCCCTTAACAGCTATTGGGGTTTCAAAATTGACTAAAGAGGGAGAGATGTGATATTAGAGGTGAAATTTTAATATTAGGTAAAGCTGACAGTAAGATGTTAATAGAAGGATGTAATTATTGCAAATTAATTGATTTTTGTCCTCATTTTTTAATAAAACAAATGAAAGGGGAAAAATAACAATTTTAAATACTTTATTTGTTTACCTTGGCGATATTCACAACACAAGGGATGCTGTGTGTTGACCATTATAGTCGATGGTCGAGATATTATATTGCATATTTCTGGATTTGATATATTGAGGTCGATTCATTACTAAAAAAACGAGGATAAATTTTATGATTATACTTATTTGAATTTTGTTCATTTCATTCGCTCGATTCAAATCAATAGTGTTTCTCAATATCTACAAATACAACAACCCAAATTACAAGGAGTGTGTAACAAATTAATGCTCCCGAAGAAACATAAGCTTGTAATAAAATTACATAAGAAAGCAAAAGTTTTCATGCAATATTTGTAAACTGATTTCGTTTATTTATATAGAAGTCATAAAATAATTTTGGTATTACTTTTTGACGACAATCTTTTGAAATGGTATGGATATATGATAACATTTACCTTCTAGAAAGAAATAAAAACCGATCATTCTTATTGAAAAAAGAAAAAATTATTGCAGAAAATTGAAAATAGTAAAAGATAGTGAATACCTCATCATGATTTTCTTTTTTCAATAAGAATGATCGGTTTCTATTTCTTTCTAGAAGGTAAATGTTATCATATATCCATACCATTTAAAAAGATTGTCGTCAAAAAGTAATGCACAATTCCCACTAACAAGAAAGGGAAAAAAAAGGGAAAAAATAGAATCATATTGCATATTCTATAAATCATGCCTAAGCATAATGTGTTAATGGGGGAAAATGAGTAAGTACTGAGTGCAGTTGCAAATTGCAATAGCAAATGAAATGTAATGCATCTATGCAAATTAGTTTCCGCAAGGATTGAAAGGGGTAACCGTTTGTTGGAAGCTACCAATAATTCAGTATGCACGGACGAACTGGCGTTTCGTGAGCTACGCGCGCGCGTATTCGATTGAGTCGTCACTTTTCGAATCAAACTAATGAATGGGCAGTCGGGATCATGAATAACTTCCTTTTGTTATGCTAATGAAATGTGAATCTTTCCACTCCATTGACACCCTGCAAAGAGGTATATCTTATCATTAAAAAAACTAAAGTGACAATCGACAGAAATATTGCAGTGCTTCCTCCATCATCAATAATATGCAATTTGTTTTCATCAGGAGTGCGCAAAACAATAAATCATAGTAGAGAAAAAAGGTTAGGTTAGATATGTGGGATGTTTTTAAAAATAATAAGCATTTAGATGAGGGTATTTACTTTGATTAATACGATAGAATACAAAAGTGACGTCTGTATTGCTCTCCAATTGCATGTAACAATAGCAATTGCAATACTTCATCTTCCACATCTCCCATGTTTTTCTCTTACAAATCATATTGGTATCTTAATGCAACAATGATAATTATACATTCATGGTGTCAGTGTAATTAATGTCCTATGGAAGCTTAATCTATCCGACCTATTGGCACCTTGACAACAAGTGGTTAGCTGCTATTTAACATTTAAATTAAAAGTTGCAAAATGCATCTGACATGTGAGGGGGAAGTAAAACTACACAGTTCAAATTTTCTCTTCATTCTAATAGAATGAAATAATAGTGCGTAGTACCCTGTTCCAAAATATATTTTCAAGCATTAAAAGTATGCAATCCAAAAATAAAAGAAGACTTTAAAAACAGCTAATCTCTTGATTGATTAATTATTGATAGCATGCACTGTGCAGTGAAATAACAGTCAACCAACCAACCAACCAACGTCCAAAACGAAATCAAAAACAAAAACAAAACAAAACAAAAATTCAAATGGGATATTTTCAAGAACATCAACAAATTTCGTTTTATGGATGTAGGAAAAGCCGAACCTATAGTGACAAGAAGAGCAGCAATATAATCAAAAACTTAACCTACATATTAAACAAAATAACCATAACAAAAAGAAATATCAGTAATATCATAGAGTTCTACTCAGAATTTGGAACACAGTGCACACACTATGTCTGTACTGTTTTACCTCTATCTACTACATCTACTACTTCTACTACATCTACTTCTACTGATGATACTCTAGCCAATAATTATATTTCTTCTTCCTTCTATCCATTTGATTATTTTTTCTTCACTACTACTACTACTACTACTACTGCCACCACCACCACAACTTCTATTAGCACTTATTACTACTTTTCTAAATCTGCTGCTACGTCTACTACTACTTCTACTACATCTACTTCTACTGATGATACTCTAGCCAATAATTATATTTCTTCTTCCCTCTATCCATATAATTATTAACTTTCTATTATTTTATTGACTACTACTACTACTACTACTACTAACCCCACCACCACCACTTCTATTAGCACTTATTACTACTTTTTACTACGTCTACTAGCACTACTTCTTATAATTATGCCTACTACTCCAAAACTACTACTACTTCTAATACTACTACTACTACTACTACTAATACTAATACTAATACTACTATTACTACTGCTACTCCTCTTCCTACTACTACTACTACTACTACTACTACTACTACTACTACTACTACTGCTACTACTGCTACTACTACTACTGCTACTACTACTACTACTACATCTACTACTCTTTCCTCTAATAGTAAACCCAACTAATAATTTTATGTCTGCAGCTATAGTACTTGTATATACATTATTTACATGTCCTGATGCAATGATTACTGCCGTCATATATGACTTTCATTATAATCATATGCATCTCTGACCATTTCAAAGAATAATACTGTAACACGTTTCATCAAGTCTCACACATTGAAGATAATTTTAATATCTGAGCATACATAACTTAAGTCTTCTTTATGCAGAAAAACACTTTCAAAATGAGATAAACTCTGTATTTATACAATTGTATCTTATTGGTCGATCACCTTCCAGAACATCGATTGATATTGATCAGAAAGTTGCTAAACAGTAAACAGCAACAGTTTTCACAGTGATTTCAGCTAATAAAGTATCACTCACTGTCATGACTATACGTTAATCTCGACGGGTTTATTTGACATTCTACACGTACCTTATATAATGACATCGTTATGTGATAGTTTATACATCTTTTCCAGCTTCACACAACTTTTACATATTTACAATGCTCCTACTTATGTATACCCGAATTTGCATTTATAGTCGCTGATCCGAACTAATGTCTTTCGATCTACACGTTCGCAAACATTTACAAACTTTATTTTCAGGAATTTAAGTATTTTTCATTATTACACATCATTTGTCATGATAACAAAGCAAGTATCGAATATTTAGAATCTAAAATCCGAATATTTCATCACACTATCTTAAACTAAAGGACTTATGAGCATTATCCACCCATGCCCTCTTTTCACATTTATCCAAGAGGGGAAAGATTAAAAATCCTCCTAAAACATAAGCATTCGTTGTAATACATCGTTCTCCTATTAAACGCTCTACAATCGGGGGAAAATGTATATGGAGATATAAGTAACCCCCTAAGGGTAAAAAGGGAGGTTTCATACCATGTAAAATGAATTATAGTTCATCACAAACCCCCAGCCATAGTCTCAACGACCTCATAGGCAAGCAAACCCCATTCTTGACATGTTTAAACAATGTGTTTGACTTTTGTTTTCATAGGCAAACACTGGATGGCGCATTCAACCCTGCTCTGTTTTCATTTCGATCTATACAACCAGTCCAAGTGTCCTGGTCTTTCTCTCCTTTTTATTGATTTGTACCTTGGCGCTACCATAGTCTATACCCTTGAAGAAAAAAAATCAGAAAATTGCATTCGAGTCTGGTCGAATCATGTCAAGAAACTATTTCCAGCATAATACCCTCAGAAATATCAGCTTTCGGGCGAACGACGACTCGGGCTGTATTCTTGCATCAAACGCCAGAGTATTTAGAGTATTAAACAGCTATTGATCTCATTTAATCCGATCGGTAAATTGCCCGAAGGCCGAGACAATTATATATGAAAAAAAGCGCGACATGTTAAGACTTTTTTTTAGGCGTGTGTAATTGTTATTGGTGACATGTCGAGAGAGCCGCGGTCATGCAACTTGGTGGGTGCGGTGAAGTGAGTCTCCACGCCTGGACGCTCCCGGCCGATGAGCGGGGACTGCCCGCCGACTTGACTCGATACGATTCGCTGCTTAACAGACATTCACCGTTTCTCTCGTTATTGTAGCAATTTTTTATTTGGCTATAAATGCACACTTAAGTGCATTTTTTATTGTCTAAATCACCTGCAGTTTAGCAGTTTATCTTTTTGCGAGCTGAAAGGAGCGATTTTCAGGTGTACATGCAGTATTTCCCACTTGATGAAAACAGAAACTTGACTTGTTACAATTTCCTCATCTTTTATTTTTAATTTTAATTTCTTATTCCTTTCATCTAATTAATTAATCAACGCCGTCTAGTGAATAAGGCATTTACTTAAAAAGCTACTGATACAAATGTCGACGATTGTATTTTACTACGATATAAATATATTTAATAAACTTCAACCACGCTCTTCTATCATAACAATACAAAAAAAGCAATTACATTGGTAGATCGTCAATATATATAGTAATCCCATCATTACATCATCATTAATTTCATTAATGTATGAAAATCTCAGCTTATCATTTGTTGCATAATTACAGCAAAATACTGTTTCGATAACAACAAACCTTTTTATACACTACTAAATCTATTCAGTGACTCACGCAGTCGTTGTCTGTAAAATAAGCGCATAAATCGTTAAGGTATTGTCATTCGCCGAAAGCAATATTCGAGCCTCTTATATCAATCGCAATAAAATATGAGGAATCACCGGGCATCATCGTAATTTTTACAAATCATCAGGTATTTGTTCTCAAATTGCCGCTGATCTACTGGGTAGTGTATTTAGTGTAGTGCGCCCTAAGCCAAGATAAGCTGAAGCAGCTTACCGTAAATCTTCCCCTATGGCGATAATATGTAACAAGCACGCAGAATGCACGCTCATTTCTCTTGTTTTGATTAAGTGTTATGATTTGTTGTGTGTCTTATGCTTCTGTGTGATGGTATTTGAGACAGATCTCTAAGATGTCTTAATAAAGGACGTTGGAAATGGGTTTTAACGCCTAGGCTTGGCGGGAGGGCCTAACATGAATATTAAAGATACGAACTGCTAGTCGAGCGCGACATCTCGATCGTCGTTCGACCTCTTTCAGTGTACACGCGCTGCAGGTCGCATGTCATCACAACAATGCACATCCTTTAAGAAAAGAAAATGAAGCAAAATACAGAAATGTCTTGAGACTGACCTGTTTTGGGAGGATTTCTTTTTATCCTCATCCATTTGTAAAGACCACCTTCCCCTGATGGTGACTGCGCCTCGCCATTCGAGCTTGATGTTGGCGACCTCCCGTTCGTAATGGCAGTCGCTCTCGCCTCATCGTCCGTCGCAGCTCCGTTAGAGCCTATTGGTTGTCCGCTGGTCGGTTCTTGCCCGGACCCTAACGCACACGACGTTGGTGACGGTGAATCAAGGTTCGTTATCGACGGCGAATCGCTATTGTAGCTACCATTAAAGTTGACCCCCGACGTCGCACACGACACCGCCGACGTGGGACTTCGGACATGTTTGTGGATGTGGGGGTATTCGGTCTCGGAGTTCCCGTAATGATTGACGGAACCGGGGTAAGCATACGCCGAACGGTTATAAACATAGTTCATACTGGACATCGAGTTGCAGGTCGATGGCGGGTTGTAATCGTGAAGTCGATGTCGACTATCACCAAGGTGTGAGTACGAGTTAGTGGTGCTTTGAACTCCGATGCCCGATACGAGATGGCCATCGAATCCTTGCGGGTCGAGGCCCCCGTACGACTTGGCATGGCCCTGGTAGAGCCCTACCCCCTGCGATACGGCAGCGCTGCAATAATCAAGCCCTCTCACTCCAGAATACATGCTGGTTTGATCTGGTGAGGTATAGTCGGCATACGGTGTGCTAGCAGTCGTCGTCGACGATTTATCCATGGCCAGAATCAAGTCCGCCGATTGAGAGTAATGACGGTATATTCCGACCAGTTCGAGCTGCCAGTCTGGATTTGGTTGTAATGATAAATGACTGTTGGTTTGTCTCTCTCTCTAGGTGGGCGCCGGCACGGGCCCAATATGTGTGGATGGCAACCAACCACGTGATACCGGTCCACCAATCAGTGTTGACTTTACGAGTGGTGAAGAGTTTGGCGCTGGTTTTAGGCTCCCATACACGCACATATCATGCATGGAGTACTTTGAAATCAATGTTTACATCGGGGATCTGTAAGAAAGCAGAAATATTTTTCCAAACACTGAGAAGCCAAGCCACAAGTCGGGATCAATGTCTTTATTGGTTTAGGCACGTGCCAACCAAAAATATCATCCACGTTGCTTTCCTGCTTCGCCAATCAACCAAAATAAATATATATAACACCATATTATAACCAAAAATAGATACACTGTCATTATCATATCGATAACATGAAATAAACATAATTTCCCTTTAAAATAAAACGAAAAATAAATAATTAAAAATGAATAATTTCATCTTTAACTTTTAAGGCTATCGTATTGTAAGTGCTCACCTTTTTGTTTTTAATTACAATAATTAATTAGTAGGGTTATTGTTCTTCCTGAAAGTATATCATTAATGTATCAAAATAGCGCATTTTCCATTTACATGTTTAAATGCGCGTTACACTCATGTTATAAACAACAAAAATGACTTTAGAGAAATTTATAAAAGGTAATGAGAGACTGCTGGTTACGAAGAAATCTGGGTACGTTATTCCAGTTTGGGAGCAGCAGTTGTGAATGCCATTAAATCGTGATTATGTTTTGCTTCTTAAATACATGTTTTCTGACGTTTAGAAAATGGCCTTAATACACCACCGACAGACTACATAATATTATGCTAGATACTTCATCATAATTTTGCATTTGCATCAATTATTATAGAATATTACCAGTAACGCTTAAACAAGAACCGTTAACTTAATCAGATTGCCTTCGAAAGTGCCACATGTTAAGGTCAAGAAATAATTCGTGTAGTTGATTAGTGATAAGATATTTATTCATTGTTGCATTATAAATTACAAGAGGATGTCAAAGTGAATACCTCTATCTTTTAATGAAGAATTTAGATCGTTTTATGCTGAATCATTTCCCTTTTTAACCAACGCTTTAACATTATGAATCTGCACCCCTGCAGTCCCACACATGCATTATTACGTGGGGATGGGGCGATTTTTCTGCACGTCAAACATCAGTGCCCGCAGTAATTGAAAACCACTTTACCCAGTAAGCGTATTGGAACACACACGGTTAGAATCTCCTGGTTCTATTTACCCATTCCATTCATTCAAATGATTATAACAAGGCGAGATTACCCCCTTTCTAGAAAAAAAGGAAGAGATCTATAATTATCACGATATTACTCATTCTTTTATTTGCCAGATAATTATCAGCACTGTGGGATAGATAGTACAGCGGCGGGTGGTATGAACATGATACGCGGCGAACAGGTGTGTTCTGTCTCACATGCATTCACAACCGGGACTTGTATATAACGTTTACAACGTTATCAAAAATATATTATCAATGATCAGAGATATTAAAATAGGGAGATAAAATGAGTTCATTTAAAAGTGCATAAAACCTATCCAATGATGAACAGGTATAGAAATAACTACTAAGCTGGCAATATTACATGCCATAATCTTATCTCTATATACTAACGCGTGATATCAAATGCATTCGATAACAACGCTCGAAATCTAGAATCGTATGTCATGAATGCATGCGTGCTCTTTATATTTACAAACGGTGAGCTGTTTTACAGTGGTTCTGAGTTGCATAATCCAAACTTTCTTTTTAGATATCTAGATATTTTGGATTGATACTAGAAATCGCAAAATGTCCTCTCAGGATTCGGACACTAGCAAACAAATGCTACACAAAACTATGACCAAAAGGGAAATTAAAACAAAACCAAATACAAAATAGAACAGAAGTCGGTAAATAGCGAGTAAAATGATTAAACCAGACGCGGTCAATATCTGATGACCTAGATATCTATATCTATTCACTATTCACGACTCTATACTCACTCCATTAGTATTACGACCATTTCCTTTGAAGTCGCCCTATACATTAGGTCAATTGTAAATAGATTTAGTACCCAAATCCTTGTGATATTCCAGATATGTACTGCACGTTTTTTTCTCCGACAATTTTAAGAATAGTAAATTACACTTGACGTACCACACCAGCGATTTATGCGTCGAGCAGAGCAAAGACTCTTCATATAGTGCTTTCCTACACCAAGAGCGTTTTTGTGTTTCAATTTCACCGATGAATTATTTTAAGTTTGAGTTGGGTTTAAAACAACGAGAAAAGAAGTTTTTTGTTTACAACATCAAAGGGGGGGGGGGGGGGAAATAACAAAGTGATAAAATGAACTAATACTAATAAGCGGCATCGGTTGATTGTCTGCATTTTCTGCAATGGTAGGTTTTAATTATAAAAGTGTGATTCCGAAATGTTGAATAAACTGGAAAGAAAAAGTTACAAATAACAGGAATAGAAAAACACCAAAGAACATATAAAGAACATGGAGAAAACAAAAAAAGACAGAGGATAAGAAGAAAGGAACTAGGTTAATGAGGGTTAAGAAAGAAAGGGGAAGAAAGAAGGAGACAATAAGATTATAATTGAAAACAGACGGTATTGGAACCTAATAAATGATAGGAAGCAGACAGATAAACAAGTGAAGAGAAGACAACTGATAAGAAAATCAGACAAGAGAGAAGAATTGGGAAAACATCAGCACTACAAAATTTCAATTTCAAGTGAAGAGGGCGCACCATAAAGTCAAATCCACCGCTCGCCCGTTTGTCACGCCATTTACATGTACATGTAAATGACGACGTTTTTAACATGTATTCCAGTATGCCGTAGACAGTGATAGATATATACGTTGTTTTCTCTTTGTTTAGTCTATAATTCAAAATTTTGGCGTATAAGGTGAGAGGAATTAACAATATAAATGGAGGCATGTGTGATTTACCATTGTTTCATTACGATCCTAAGGTCTAATCTAAATTTTTAATAAGTGTTTTGGGCGGCACATATTCGTAAAATGTTTATTAAACTTTACTCTATTTAGGATATATGTAAAATAGTTATTATTTGACTGAAGTTCGTGTTTCTATAGCCACGGATAAGTGCAGTGCCAACTAAATGCAGAGAGTTGGAACTCCCTGCTTGAGGGAAGAAAAATATGGGACGATCGTCACTCCGTTTCAGAAATCATGATAATTGTCTTGAAAATCAACCCCTTCACCTCCTTTTTTCTCTTTAAAAATCGATGACAATAAGCACAATGGTGGATATTAAAAATCATTCTCTAGTGAGAAATTATAGGTACTTTTTGAAAAGATGGAATTGAACCTACGGCGCCGGCACGGAGTTAAAATGCTGTCCGGGATCAGACCTCTAAGCCCAATTCAAAGTTTTCTTTTACAATCACCAATTTCAGGAGACGACAATCGTAAATTTTATGCGGGAAGCTGTAGAAATGTTTCATGTCCCAATTAACTCGAATCATATCGCGAGAGTGACTCTGTTCTCTTTTGTTAATACGAGAAGGGTGTGTAGGCACGGTTAATCGGACTCCAATGGGTGCCCATTTTTTTTTGAGTGGAAAATCGCACCTATTTAGAGGATAAATAATCCATGTTTATTGAATAGGTGCAAAGCCAGTTCATGGTCGGACAAGAGCCCACGAACACGACGGAGAGAATTTATTCTCGTAAAACATGGTAAATACAAACTGACATTAATTGTGCATAGTGTACACAATATGACGATGCAATGATTAGGATAGGATCTAATTATGCGCTTCAAAAACGTTATTCGACGCTTATGAAAAACAGAAGTGACTTAATAACTATCATTTTGTAAATGAAGCAAGTTAATGCAGTTACGTTGTTCTGTTATTAAAACAAACTGACACAAAATATACCTGTAATGTATACAGTCATGATGGAGAAAAGGCTTGATAATTCATAAGTTATTGTACGAGGAAATACAAAAATCATGATACATGAAATGTACATGTATATCATAATTGAACCAGTTGCATTAGGTTTTGAATTTCATTCCCGTAGTCGTAGTAAAAGCACACTGAAATAATGTATCTGTACTTTTTTTTTGGGGGGGGGGGGTGGGGGGGGGGGGGGTCAACTATTGATCGACTTGCCTTATGGGTAAATATTGTTTGGATACCGTTGCAACCTGAACATTACTCAAATTCCAGCAGATTCCCCGTATACTATTAAAATGCCTCCTTTAACGGGGTGGGGGAAATCCCTTTATAATTCAATGTCCTTAATCCCCTTTTATTAATCCCAAACTCTGTTCTCTCGTAGTTTGCCGATAGCCTGTAAGAATTTACCAACGACATGGCTGGTTTAAGGTAATTTTTTCAGCAAGGATTTTAACGGGGGCGTCACCCACCTTATTCCTTCTAGTGATGGCCTCGCTTTTTAGCTATTAAGCACACGGTATAAATTGAATTTAAGAATAACGGTCAAATAAATACATTTAAAAACACAATGTGTTGGTGTTAAAATCTCAAGTTTTAAATATCAAAGCATTAACATGAACATACAAATAACATTTCAGAAGAACAAGAAACTTCTTTCAATGTCAATATTTTGTATCGATACTACTCAATATTCAAGTTATGGTTGAGTAAAGAAATTGAATGAACCGTGTTAAACATATCGTATTGTTCCATATATATCAAGAGATATTTACGTGATCTCTCATGTTCCATATTAATATTGGCTGTGATGAACTTTTGTGAAATTATTTGAGAGGTACGCCAAATTGACAAAGATAATGTCTTTACCGAAGTCTCCCTACCCAGCGATCTAAAAGTGGTTTTGCACGAATCACACACGCACGCACACGCACACACAACACACACACAAACACATACAGGTAAAAAGTGCCAAATGGGGATATTTATCTTGAACTATATTTAACTATGAAATAGGATATATATAGTATTTGAGGTGTTTTTTCAAAGATTCCTTTTCTTTGATGCATGTATAACGCCAGATAAATGAATAAAATTACATTTTTTCAAAGAATAACAAGAATTTAGCCACCTATTTTTATGTGGGAGTTTACGAGGCGCTGTTCATTTTATATCAAAATTTTAAAATCTCAGATGATACACAAAGTAGTGCTCGAAAATGTGGCG